CCAGTACATTCTCTTTTCCTTTATGAAAGGGACCAACATTTTTTTTTTTTTTTACAAAAAGTCTCTTTTACTTAAAATTGAAATTCGCTTCAGTAATTCTTCTTCTATTTGAGGAAAATCTTTTATCTAAGCTATTCTTCTTTTACTTTAGTGATTTCTTTTCAGCAGGTTTTCAATTCAATTTAATTCAATTCAGTTTATTTATATAGCACCAAATTCACAACACATGTCATCTCAAGGCACTTTACAGTTCAACCAGATAATCCAGTCAAATTGATTCAAAGTTTTCTATCTAAGGAAAACCAGTTGATTGCATCGACTCATGGACTCAAATACATTCCCTCACACTTAGAATGTTTGTAGCGACAGTGGAGAGGAAAAACTCCCTTTTAACAGGAAGAAACCTCCAGCAGAACCAGGCTCAGTGTGAGCGGCCATCTGCTGAGGCCGACTGGGGTTCAAGGAGCCAGAAGCAGAGATACAAAAAGCAACTGCAAAAGGCGGCCCCATCCAGGAAACACACAGCCAGGCAGACAAGCTCCAAGCCAGCTCCCATGTCAGAGAATGAAGAGAGCATCTCTTCCACCTCTGCATAGCACCAAGTACTGTACAGGAGTCATCTGACGCTTTGACATGTCAGTCATCTGGTTTTGGGGCAATCGGACACCCTCTAACTAAATCCAAATCTTCTTGTGTGGAAGTTTTAATTACATTTTTTAAATCCTGGAGATGTCTAGTTGCATAAACCATATGTGAACATTACATCACCTCCCTTAACCTTTAGAACTGGCTTCCTCCTATAGGAGTTAGATGAAGTACTGCAATGACTACCTTCCTTTATGAGTCAAGGTAATTAGACACAAGCTGACTTCTAACCCCTCAACACCTAATATCTAAAAAAGAAAGAAAATTACTTTCTTCGTTCCTTAAAATGTTTTTGTAAAAGAGAGCAGAGTTCTGTTAAAGCAAGAGAGGGAGTAATTAGACAGGAACTGTAACCCAGGTACACAGAGTAATCTGTGCATTTCACTCCTTCCTAGTCAATGAGGTAGTTCCCACAAGCTCCATGGTGCTGTCCAGAGTACTGGATCAAGTCTGATTTTAATGACTAATGGTACAAAAAGTATTCATTTCTACCAGATGACCTATGCAGAAGGTCAGACACCAGGAGAATGAAGCTGATTTGGTGAAACTCCAATTTCTACAATGCGACAGTACAATGCAATAACTTGTGCAATTATAATGTGCAATTTACTATTTGACACCCAGTTAAATATCTATATATAGAAATATAAATATCCATCTATATAAATACCAATGTAAACACCCTGTGCAATAACCCTATATAATGATCCTACTATTTTTAAAAAAGCTGTCATATGTGGACCTATTGTATATAATGTATATATCCCATGCACCGTTTTCTTCCTTTGGCATATGGAAGAATGTGCTTCTTCTTTGACTATTTGAGCTGATGTAACAAGTCAATTTCTCCACTGTGAGATCGATCGATCGATCGATCAATCAATCAATCAATCAATCAATCAATCAATCAATCAATCAATCAATCAATCAATCAATCAATCAATCAATCAATCAATCAATCATTTAACAGGGTGAGGGGTTTAAGGAAACATACCGACTCAATTTGGCATAGTTATATCTTTCTTTTTCAAACTTTTCCTTAATGTTTGAACTAAACTTCACCCAGACACCATGAAAAATTAGAGGGACATTGGTTATGCAATACGTTTACATTTCTAAGTATGTTATTTAATCAGATTATTTTGGACTGTCTTATGTTGTCTGTGAGGATATGCCCAACTGGCTGGTGTGAGGACAACAAATGAAAGTGTGATTCATGCTGAAATCATCTCGGTTAAAAAGACTTGCCTAAACTAGTGAAACTAAACTAGGCTACTGCGTATATGCAGAAAAAGACATGAACAAGGTTTAGAAGCATAATCAATGAAATGATGCAATGATATCAAAGTATGGCATGGATTTTATGTTTAAGAACCCACATTTAACTTAAAGAATTTGGAATGAGGTCCACAGCTTTCAAACTAATTTAGAGCAATTGAAATGTGTTCAAACCAGATCACGATAGATATCATACAGACAAATAAACCATTACTTGGAAACATAATATTTTATTAAAGGATTTGCATAAATCAGAAATCAGTAATTTAGGGTTAAGGCCACCTAGTTCCCAGTGACGGCTGGTGGAGTTTTTTCCAGGGGGGCTGTAACTTCAAAATAGACCTATACCAAAAAGGGTATCACACCAGTATATTTACATAAATTCCAGCAACAAAAAACAACACTATCAAATTTTCTGAAAAGTGTCTCATGGAGAAGTACTTCCCGATGAGCTCTGTGCTTTGCTGGACGAGGGTGCAGTAGTGCCTATAGGCCAGGGGGCTTTTACTCTTTTTATTTCCTGGTCCTCAAGAAGACCAGGGATCTTGGTCTGGCTCTAGACCACAGAGGACTGAACACCTACCTGATGGACATGCCATTTTGCATGCTGTTGACCTCAAGGGTCTTGCAGGCAATCTCCCTGGGTGAATGGTTTACGTCCATGGACCTGAAGGACGCATATATTCATGTCACCATTGGACAGGTTCACCTGTGGCTTCTCCGTTTTGCGTTCCAGAGACAAAATTTTCAGTTCAGGGTCCTTCCCTTTGGGCTCTCCCTATCTCCCTGGATGCTCACCAGGGTTGTGGCAGCAGACCTTGTAGGCAAAGGGAATTCGGGTCCTGCCCTATTTGGATGATTGGCTTATTTATGCCCAAGGTCAGGCGGTTTGGGTCACTCATTTAGGCCCCGTCCACACGAAGTCAAAACGAACACGAAACGCTGATATTTTCCAAAACGTTTGCCGTAAAAACGGAGACGTAAAATAAATGTGAGCGTCCACACGAATGCATGAAAACGCTGCAAAATGTATGCCAGGCCTGTAAGTGGCGCTGTGGTGCCAAAGCAAAAATAAGCGACGAAATGTTGGGCATGCGCACTAATATTTATACATGGTTGCCCTGCGGGTCCATTTTCGTGGTTAAGTCAAATTCAGGTGCTGAACTATGTCGTCGATATTGCTCTGTTCTTCCTGGAGATATTCCAGAAGAAGAAGATTCTGTTGTAAGCCCGACAGCAGGGTGAGTAGCATTAGCAGCAACGGCGCCATTGTTGTTGTGATACTGTGTCGCGCATGCGTGTTTAGAGGTGACGCTATGACGCATGCGTGTAAAAAAAAAAAAAGCGGTTAGAGCGTAAAGATGGAAACGCGAAAACGGCGTTTCGAAATCTTCCCACTCTGAAGGCTGTATAAAAAAAAGATCGTTTACAGACCCCCGAAACGCCGGCTTCGTGTGGATGAGAGGCTGGTTTGGTGAAAAATTTGTGCGTTTAGGCCAGGGTTCGTCTTTGTGTGGACGGGGCCTTAGTGTTCTCCCACATGCATAAACTGAGTTTGAAGGTGAACTTAGAGAAGAGCAGCTTCATCTCCTCCCATGTGACGTGTTTAGTAGGTGTCCTCCTGAACTGTCTCCATGAGCGCCCAGCCTTCCCTGCAGTGGGTGGCAAGTTTTTGGCAATTATGCCCAGGTTCCGACGTAGCACATCGTTTTCTTTTCTTCTTCAGCTTGCCATTGCACCTCCCTCTCCACGTTGACCTCCTCTCACAAACGTAAGGTCTAATTCTTCATCTCGGCCAGCTCTATGCCGGCCATGTGTGATGTGTTCAAGCTACTCTATTGATGTGCCTTTGGGAGTGTTTTGAAGAGGACTGAAGCTCCTATGGTTGTTGCAACATTTTAGAGAGCACAGCATTTTGCTTCAGCAATGTTTAGTGTTAATATCAGTAAAGACAACGGTCCCCGAAGTCCAATATTTAATATCATGTGTTATAGTATGAATGTCTTCCTTATCTGTCCTCCAGGGCAGCCATGTGTTTAGTACAATCCCTATCTAAAGTAATTGAACATTCTTTCCTCATTCACATGAGAAAAAATCTTCCCAAAGACATGATGCTGCCTTTGCTATGCTCAATGATGTGTTCAAGGTGATGTACAATTATTTTTTCTCACAAACAGTTGTGCATAACAGTCCAAATTTTTTATTTTTTTTTTGGTCACCCTCCTGCTGTGTTCTCTACATGGCTTGCAACAAACTGTAAACAGAACTTCTAATTGGATTTCTTGAATTATTGGAATTCCTCCCTGCACTTTTCCATAATGGCCTCCTGTTGCTCCAGTGGTATCCTGGGCCACCTGGCTTTTTCTCTAATCAGTGCTATTGTAGGCTGGTTTATTTTGACATCCATGGCTTGGTAGGCTTTCATGAATCAAAACACAAAACTTGTCAATAGATACAGAATGCTGAATGGGCTGAATTAATATTGCAATGTTTTTATGACACACTTTCATCACCCAAAGATAGTATTAGAACCTTCCGCTTGTTCCTTAAAACTGCATAAACACAGAACAAAAAAAAAACATTTAAAAACAACATTGACACACTTTCATCTATTGCTTAAAAAAACAATCAGATTGATATTGCTTGCCTTCTTCTATATTGGATATATTGCACTTTTCTTCATGATTTTTCTACCTGAATTGATTTGTGATCAAGTGCAGCTTTGGTTTGTTGAAACACTTCTGTTGAACAAACCGATATTTTAGGAGTGTTACAAAACCCCTTGATATCAAATGATCAAAACAAGTCATTTTCAAAAAGCTATTTATTTTTGACTTTAGCTGTGCAGGATAACACTGTGTATAAACAGAAATAATACTTTAATTAAGGGTTCAAAATATGCGGTAGATTGCTTTTTCTACATTCAGCTTGCAGAGAATGATTCTGTTTTTTTTTATCATTTTGCTTTGGAAGTGTGTGCACGTTGTAAGAGGCTTCTGTTTTAGGAAAAATTAAAGCAAGAACTGCTCTGCAGCACCATCCCTCTGCTCATCCTGTCTCTGCTGGTTTACTGCCAGGTGCAGATCTGCAGGTTTGCCAAGCCAAAGGCCCGACCTGCTGTTCCAAGAAGATGGAGGAGCGGTATCAGGTGGCCGCACGCAGCAACATGGAGTCAGGTCTGCAGGTTGTCAGCGCTCATCTCAAACGTCTCATTATCCAGAATGCTGCAATATTCCAAGGTAAGCAGATCACATACTGATCCTAACTGCCTAGAAGCATTGCATAAATTCAAATCAATGCAGCCATCCCTTTTTTTTTTACACGAGCCGCTTATTCTCTGGGGAGTCACATATTATCAAAGTAGAAGCACATGCAGAGGTTAGACATTCAGCTGCTGTTTAACTATATGTTAGAATGGCAGACACGTGTGGTTTGAGTGACTTTAGATGTAGTTCTGTCGGCCCTGGTCGTGTTTCTCCTGAAAGTGACAGCCTCCTGGGATTTGGCAGGTTGCAGTCAGAGAGTGCAGTGTTTTTCACTCAGACAGCAGAGCTAGTCAGCAGCAGCCCTGGAAGCGTGGATCAGAGTGGCCACCAGATATCAGTATGTGCGGTTAAAGCTACCAGATGCATGCAGAATGACAACATCCTGATGTGAAACAACGTGGCGTGTGAGAGATGCTGACGTTCAAGCTGTGCAAGCTGAGAGTCACACTTAAGGTAAAGGAGGATTTCTGTTAGAGGGATGAAAGAGCATTGAATGACAAATGCAGGAAAAATGATATGGAGTCAGAACACATTGTGACACCAATATCGTCAGAATGTACTTAAAAATACAGCAGCATTTATACATACATAACAGTTCAGAAGAATCGAGATTTAGTTCATAACGATGTTTCGTATAAGGTTTGATCCTTAAAATAAACTAAATCTTTACTTAAGTCATCAGGAAATAAAGACTGTTTTTCCATTTCTGAAATGAATTTGGTTTCACAATGCTCCAAACTAAGTGGACAGTAAAGAACTGCCCGGAGATTGGAAAGACTAAAGCAGTGAAAGCAGACAAAGTCAATGCCTGGATGGATAGACTATTCAACTTGAGAAAGGTCAATAATTATTTTTAGAAATATTAAAAGGTCAAAAAAATCAAATTTCGAAATATTGACGTAGCAGCTGTAGAGCTAGACACTAATTCAATATCAGTGTATGTATTGGGACATCATTTTTATTCCATTATGGTGATATGACATTTAAACACTATTCAGGTATTCCAATTTATGTTATAGTCTATGGCAGGAGTGGGAAATTCCAGTCCTGCAACTTTTAGACGTGTCCCTGTTCGAACACACCTGAATCAAGTAATTAAATTAAGATGACTCTGCAGAAATGGACGGCATACTGATGAGGTAATTCAGTTATCTGATTCAGGTGTGTTGGAGTAAGGAAAAATGTAAACTGGACTGGAGTTGCACAAACTTGGTTTATGTTTACAGTGAAGGTCAGGTAGCTGCTGATTTAAGCCAGGCAACATCTCTGTTACATTAGTGATGATGGACATCACAGACACGGAGCCTGTGGCTGCAGCTGGAGGCAAGCTTCAGCAACAAAATGAGTGCCTATGATAAAGTGTTTGCCCCTGTTTTTGATAACACGTATCTGCTTGCACAGGACCGTCTCTAGGTTCTTTGGTGTCCAAGGCGATATTGCCCCATTGCATCTGGACATGACTCAAAAGTAAATTTAATTGGCAAAAGGTCAGAGATACTGTATTAATCGCAAGGGTTTTTGAGAGGAAGGATAAACTGCTGCAAGACAGCCTGATATAAAATCATTGCTCTTGCTGTTAACTCGTTAGTATACAATTTTCTTCAATCTTTACAGTCTATATACCTCTGTTTTGGTCCTGTTTTTCTGTCCAGAGTTCTGTCTTATGTTCTTGAAAAGAACACAGGAAAGTGTGAATTAGGGGAGAACGGGAGCACACAGCATAAATATGGGTCAATTGGAACAGAAGTGTACTCGTGACGTCACCACACGCTCGGCTCGTCTGGAGCTGCGTTTCACCTCCTGTTATTAATAGTCTCTAGAAAATAATAAATTCTTATGTTTTTTTCATTTAGTGGGGAAATAATAGTTAACACAGGCAGATAAACACAATTTAAATGAACTTTTTGCCAAATCAAACAAAAAAACGCCATCAGAGCATTGCAGTTAGCCCTGGCTCCTGTGGTTAGCCTCAGAGGTCCGCTGGTTGCCGCGGTCCTCTCAACATTGGAACTTTTTTAGAATTACACACTAAATCATTAAACGGGAGCTTAAACATATAACGTTCTCTCCTCAAACAGTCCTAAAACGCATTTTTGTAGAACATCAGCAACAAAAAAATGAACTTCTAACTTAATACTCTGAGCTCTATTAGCACTCCATTTGGAGCTGCTTCTGCCGCAGTGCATGCTGGGACAGCCGATAGTCTGGAGAATGGTCAAGTCTGCTCTGATGCATGCTGGGCAAGGAGGACGGACAGAGAACAACATCTGGGGATTTTGTCCGCTCTGTCTTGTGTTCTTGTGAATTGGAATACTAGGGCTGAGGCTGATGATGTTTTACAAGCACATTAGCAATTTTATTTAGTCAGGTGTAGATGTCATCTCTCTGCCTCCAGCTAATCTCCGACCACAGAAATACGCTACAAGTAATCACAACTAGTTAATTGAGGGTAGATCTCCTATGCTCAATGAACTATTTGCTACTAAGAAGCAATATGGTTGCCCCAAATGTTTGTTTGACAGAACGTATAAAAACAGACTATCAACTTAGTGCCATCAACTGTAATGTTCCTCTCTGCAGCTACCTGGGATGGCTCCAAATACATCAACGTTCCGAGTGGTTACAGAAAATGCAGTAAACACATTTAACCTTTAATATCAGCTTAGTGCAATTTTTTAAAGATTATTTTTTAGTTTTGCTTTTATTTTATCATTTTTTGGAAAGTATGCAGACAGGAAAATGGGTTACTAGAAAGGGGAAAGACTTTCAGCAAAGGGTCAGAAGGGCCAGGACTTGAATCTCTACCTCCATGCCACAACAGCACCCCAGCTTAGTACAGTTTTTATTATGCACAAGTTTACAAAAAGCATGAAATATTTGTTTTTAAATCATGTTAGCTCTATACCACTTTTCATTTCACCATTAAATAAGACTGTGGCCATTTTGGACAAAACATGATGAGACATTTTTGTAGTTCTGATATTTGGATAACCTGTTGTCCCAGCTGTACCTGAATGCAGCATGCTCAGTCATTTAGAAAATATTTTCTCGTTGGAGATTTTGATTACCCTCTGATCTGGTTAATGTAGGATGTGCAGAGTTTGGGCTGATTGGATGTGATTTGGATCCATTTGGATGTCAGCTGACTTATCTCTCCAGTGCCACAGATGTTTGAATTAAGCTTGACATAGTTTCAGGTGTGTCATTTGCATATGGGCACAGCGAGGTACGTTATATTGCTGTGGAAAAATTATTATTATTTTTTTTTGGTTCACCTTTTTTCCTTGTGTGTCGCTGGATCCAAAACATTAATATTTGCAAATAGCAATATTATTGATGACTGGGAGTCGTTTTTGATAGGGTTGGTGTCACTGCAGAACGTAGCATTGTCTGCTTACTTCCTCTTAGCTTTAGTGTTTATTTTTCAGGGGGGAAAAGTAAACGCATTACTAAAAAATAATTTTCTTCTGCATTTCTTAGATAAACACAATAAACTCAATTATCTGAAGTTATTTCTAACAAACCAAAGACTTTTCTACTATACACAAACACAAGAATAATTTAATATGGTGACACACTGGTCCAAAATGAAAGCGAACAGCAATGTTTATTAGATTACTATTTTGATTTCTTTAGCAAACACCCATGTGACATTTTTTTGAACTCGTCTCCGAGAAAAATAAACTAAATAGTTGTCTGGAAACATTATCTCCTATACGCATTTGAAGAACTGCAGACAAACATCAAACCACAAAACTGGATACATTAGAGAGATAGAATAAAGTCTCACATCAAGTGCAGATAATGATCTGCTAATGTTGGGTTAGACATTCATAATGACGTTACTTCCTTTCTTCCAGGGATGATAATTGTTTTTATGTATTTCCTATTCAGGGATTTATACAGCAATATCAGATAAATATCTCTGGGTGATTGACAAAACAAAGGAAACTGGTTCAGAAAGAAAACATTTCTTTTGCATTTTAAGTTTAAATTTCAAAATTCAAGGAACATTTTCACACTATTTGATTATTCTAGCAATACCACACACATACAGTATTAGAGATGTCCCGATCCAGGTTTTTGCACTTCCGATCTGATACCGATATTGTTTTTGAACTTCCGATCCGATACCGATACTGGCCGATACCAGCCTATCCGAGCATGTATTTAAGTTTAAGGTAAAGTATTTAGCCTTAGTTGTAAGACTCATGTTGAAAAGGGTTTTAGTACTCTTGATAACATCTAGCCAGCTGAATTAGGTGAGATTGAATAAAACACAATGATTGGTAACAACAAACTTACCTGTTTATTAAGAGATAAACACAAACTGGACAAAATTATGAATAGCAATCTGAAATTGCACAGTGAACAGTAAAACCGTAAACAGTTAAAGGTGCAAGTATTACTGTAAGTTTTAATAAAAATGCAAAACCGGGGAACACTGGCGCAAAATAGTGGAATGGATCGTTTCAATCGGCGAAACTGGAAAATACGGACCGGATAAAAAAAAAAAAAACTGGATCGGCAGTCTGGATCGGCATTTTACATGCTTTGCCGATACACATTTTTTTGCCAATATCGGCGTCCCGATCCGATACGTGGATCGGATCGGGACAAGCCTATACAGTATATATGTACATATATATATATATTTATATATACACATATATAAAAGTTATATGTACACATGTAATTTCTATAACTTTAGAAAGTATCGTATGAGATTTTTTTTGATGTAAAATACTAATTTTAATCTTTATTATATGTAATCTTTCCTCTTGAGCAAAAACTTTAGATATAATTTTAAACTTACAGCTTGGTGAAAAGCAGAAATGATCCTGTTTGCTTTGATGCAGTCTGACTTCAACTCACCGCCCCACCATGGACAGTTCTCCCTGCTGCTCTCTGGCTAGAGGCTTTGCAGCATTCGATGCAGAAACAGCAGGTTCTGTAACAGCTTTTCCCCCGTT